ACTTTCCCCTTTGGGCCCGGGGTGGACAGCTCCTGCAATCCCAAAGAGTTAACTCACGGGGATGGGGCATATGGCTACACTGCCCTGCCTAGGGCATTCTCGTGTCTGGCAGCTCGGCAATCCACAGCGCATGGGCTTCGACAGAGGAGTCACTCTCTGCAGTCACTAGAGCCACTTTCAACAGCTGGGAAAGGGTTAACTTACCCTGGGGTCCAGTTCTCCCTAGGGCTAACAGTGGTGGCGTGCCTCGGGGTATGGTCAGCCTATGAGAGCCTGTTCTGACACTGTCGTGTCTGTATTTTGATCCCGGGGTGCTGAGTCTAACTTGGCTGGGCAACTTGGGCACCTGGGGAGTGGCAGGGGGTGGTGTATGAATGGAAGCAGAGAGAACTGGTGTCAGCCCTCGCCAGCTGGCTCCCGCGGTTTCCACTGATCTCAGTGGAATTGGTCTTTCTCTTAATAAAATTTACTCTTTATTTTTTTATTTATATCTTTGCTGCACTGACTCCAAACGCACCTCTCTTGCTTTCAAAAGTAGGAGAGACCCTGGTTTAGACTCGCTGACTAGAGAGGAGATGGGAGCCACCCCCGTAACCAGGTTGCCTGACACTTTCCATCATAAGAGATCCTGTGCACTGAATGAGGCAGGGGTCCTGGGGATAAAATCGCACGTGATCATGCCATTAAAGACTGTATTGTAATGCATACGCGCTAGGGGACTGAATTAAGGATGCACAGACAACTTAATTCTGGCATTTCCTAGCTTCTGAGTGCTTGACTTTGCAAGCTTAATAACCGTCTTTTAACATCATTTTTAATGTACTATTAATTTCGATGTATAAAAAACCAGACCATTCCTGAGCTCCGACTGCCTCTTCAAATACTTAATGTTCAGTGATCAATCAGATCACATTAACCCATTCAAACCCACTGCCAGGAGATTCCCCACAGCTCTGCTCCCGTCAGCAACAAGAAAACCTTTCGGACAGATGGCCCTCTACTGTGAGCAGCTCCCAGGCTTCGTCTGCTGTTCGGATCTATATTTTTCCAGAGCATTTTTGCGGGGGATTTTCCCAGGTGTGGCAAGAAATATTTTCCCTCAAGGAAGAGAAGGCATTTTCATGGTGCTGAAGATTAGGATTTTCAAAGAAACCTAAGGGAATTGCGTGCCTAGAGATTCTAACTCCCTTGGACTCTCAAAAATCCCAATAAAATGTCTCAGCTGTTGCTTAATCAGGAGACCGTTAGCAAAGAACAACAACGTTGTTGACCCTACCAGCTGATGAATCACGCTGCATATCCTGATGAATCAGTAGTTGGTGCACGCAATATCAATTCTTTCTCTCTCAACACACACACACACATACGCACACACACAAAATCCCCTGTTTTAATTAGCACTCCTGTAATGGGATGGAGGAAACCATCAGTTTCCTTTTGAATTCAGAAACCTGGGCGAGGAACCAAAGGCACTGGAAGGAAAAAAGAAAGGGGGAGAGAGAAAGAAACCGTGGTAAGTGATGGAGATTGCCATTGGCACAGCTACCCGAGCAGTTGCCATGGTTTTCCCCAGAAGAGCCACTTTGCTCACCCGTGATAAGGGCCCTCCAGGAGGGAACCAGCTGCCCAGAGATAGGGAGAGGCCGTGGGCAGCTGGCACAGTGCGAGCTCCCGGGCATGCTCCCCGCAGCTGTCTCTTTCTATGCGCACACAGAGGTTACACGTCTCTCTCAAACCCACCCACCCCTCACAGGGTAGACACCCATCCCACGCCTGTTCCCCCCATCACACACACATGCACACTTCACCCCACCCCTCCCCTACGCACACACACACACACACACACACACGGGCTGAATGTTGCTCTTCCTCTGCTTTCTGTGGCCTTTGTAGTTTCCGTTCACACAGGAAGCTGGAGGCCCAATCCCACCAGACCCCTTAGACGCCCCTTCTCCCGGCCCTTTATAAATGTAAAGCGCTCACGTGATTTCCTAAGCTCTCCAGTTGCTTTTCCTCTGGCCTCCATCCCCACAGCACTGGGCACCTGACACACCCCAGTGATTTACCCTCCCCAGGCCCCGGCAGGAGGCACGTCTCATCCTCCCCCTTTCGTGGCATCCCCTAGGGCCCAGCCCTGGTGTCACTAGGCTCCCACTCACAGCAATTGTGCTGTCACCGTGTAAGGTGCTGGGTACGATTCAGGCTCCTAGTAACTCAGATGCTGTTGTTTCCCCATCTCTAACATGCAGCCCCAGCTCCTACGTAGATTTAAAATGCTGTGGAAATGCCTCTGGGGTGAGTGCCAACTAGTTACACTAGGGGTGAGGAGTTTGACTCAGCAGGCCACATTCTGAGCTCACCGCTGTCAACCCCAAGTAACTTCATTGACTCTTCCGGAGATGCTCTGGATTTGCACCCGTGTGACTGAGATCAGAATCCGCTCCCGTGCTCTGAAGTACAAATGGTATTTCCGGGTACTCTACAGGATCAAAAGAACATCCTCCCTCTCAGCTAGCAGCCTGGAACATCCTGTTCCCAATTCCTGTAACTCGTCTTGTCCACCCAACAGCATCTCCCCAAAAATCCCCCCCACCAATTGCTAACCACAGTGCACCTCCACCCAGGAGAGTGCGTTCTAGTGTTATCAGGGTAGGGGTGATAAGATGGGGGGCCAAAGGGCCATTGCCCCCCAATTTTTAAACAGGGGTCCACGCTCCCCACTTTTGAGAACCTGAACTCAGCAGGGGCTCAAATTTGGCCCAGTTTGGTTGCTTGGCCCCCCATTTTTGCAGTCCTTCCAGTGCCACTGAGTCAGGGCAGCAGGCCCTGATATGGAGTTAGATATGGAGTTATGATATGGAGTTAGAGGGCCCCAAGCAGCCATCTAGCAGTGTTAGAAAATGACAGGGAACGTGCCCTAGTGTAGACGGAGCCATTCCTTCCCATGGCATTAAGGCATCAGCCACATGGGACTCAAGGGATAATCTCGGCGAGGATGGAATTAGGAGTGGAATTACTCTGGCTGCTGGCCTCTGAGTCTGCTGTCCAGGTGGAGCCAATAACGACTCACCCCATGGGGACACAAGGTCCTCGGGCTGAAATTGTTGGGAGGATGATCAGGGCGAAATGGGCCTGCGTAGCAGCTGTATTTCTTCTGTACACACCTCTGGGGAGTGAGGAAGGCATAGTGCTGCAGAGGCTTCTCCCACAGCTGGCCACCTCCCTGGGGCAAAGCTTGTCGTGGTTATCATAGACACACGTGTCTGCCACGGCCCCCTTAGCAACAGGAGCTGAGACCTCATCGGGGGACGGCTTCCAGGACCCTTGGTTGAGCCTCGTGGTGGGAGTCAGCACCTACGCCAGCAACGCTGATGGGTTCAGAAGTTCAGGAAACTCAATCCATGTGTGCACCTGCAGGGTGCAGCTATTTTCAGAGCTGTCTGGATCTGGCCATTTATAACAGACTAAACATGGATGGAAGCTAGATGGAGACTAGGATGGAGCACCAAGCCCCTGGAAAGCCACCAAGGCAGCCTTAAAGCTTAAACCTCTGGTTACACAGGCACTAAAGAACAATTAGAAACCCGATGGGTGCTCGGGCATAGGTTCTGGAACTAGGGGTGCTGCAGCACCCCTTGGATTGAAGTGGCTGCCATTATATACAGGGCTTACAGTTTGGGTCAGTGGCTTTCAGCACCCCCACTATACACCTTGTTCCAGCACCCCTGTGCTGTGGGAGAAGGTTTTACCCAGAGATTCCCCTATGGAGCGGGTCCACGAAGGAAAACAGCTAAAAAGTCCATTTCACGCAGAACAGTCTATTGCACAGTATTTGCATCATACTAAAGTTTTAAGCTGAGGAAAGGGCTGCCGGTGGGGAGCCAGGGGTGGTTTTGGAAAGGGAACTTCCCCACTGGAGCAAACAAAAGAATGCCAGTACTCAGCACTCCTGGCTCCCTGCCCTGTACCGACTGCTGGATCTCCCTGCCTCTCCCAGGAGAGGATGTCTCGCCACTTAAATTGACAGGTGATGTTTCTTGTGTCTCCCATCCCAGTAACTGCAGATATTTGTGTTTGCCCCCAATGCAGTGCAGCTTCCCCTCCTGCTCGGCCCCAAGCAAAGCCCTGCTCTTGTCTAAGTGACATCCCAGCCGGCAGCCATGGAACTGACCAGCATGGCCCAAATCTAGCATGCATTGTGACGGTGCCCCAGGATCGAATGGGAGAGATCAGGGATGGGCAGGAGAACAGTCTCTACCAGACATTTTCAGCATGTCCAAGCACAGGAGAGAGAGCCAACCATGGACAAGTCAAGTCACCCCCTCCCACCACCGCTTGGCATCACACTCAGCACAGTGGGGACAATATTGTTGCTTGATTAGAATACCTCAGAGGTAGCAGGGAGATTGATTCATAAGGGTTTGAAGGTAGTAAGTTATAGATAGATAGATAGATAGATAGATAGATAGATAGAGATATACGTGCTAAGTACAGTTACTGGCCACAAGATACTATGCTGAAGGGTGTCTTAGAAATACAAATAAGTGTATCAAGAAAAATGACAAGAGACAAGTGAAAGCCATGTTGGTTTATACCTGAAGGCTGGTGCCCATAGGTGTTGGAACTAGGGGTGCGGGGGGTACTGCAGCTTGAAGTGGTTTCTATCATATACAGGGTTACAGCTTGATTCAATAGCTCTCAGCACCCCTGCTGGTGCCACTCACTTGCTCCTCTCCACAGCCGTCACAAAGCTCCCCTTTAATTCAGAAGAGGGCTCAAAATAGCCTCCCAATAAATACACAGGCAAGGCCCGATCACTTGAAGTATGAAACATGCTGTGTGGGCTGCGTGCGGCTGCCACAAGGAGGGAAAAGCCACCAAGCACACACAGAGCACAAGCAGTGCTGAGAGGCAGAGAGAAAGGAAGGAGCCTTGTAATACAGTGGAGCTTGCCTTGTCCCACCCCAGCCAGGAACTGACACATTCCCCTAACATTGTACCTTTCGCTGTAGCTGTGGTCCTTAGAGTACCTGTAACCCACACACCCAGTGGCTGCATCTATTTCTTGAATGGTTCCGAAGCTCCCCGTGTTACAGGCGCAGCCGGGTGTTGTCTCTGCTGTGTGCATCCAGGTCAATGGTTACGCGCACACACACACCCATCGCTTGTTCGGTGTCCGCTTGCAGCGTGTTTCATGTTACACGGAGAAGAGCACACTCCCATCTTTGTCTGTGTCCTCTGGCTCCACGGAAAGGATCCTGCTGAAAGGCTCCATTCCCACCTCAACGACAAGCCAGCCGACAAGCAACATCTCAGCGTGTCCTGAGCTGGTGGTTTGTGCTGCAAGTGGCTTCCCAGTCCCTAGAGGCCACTGTGTAGCCAGAGGTTACAGCCGTGTGAGCAAGCTGGCAGGTTATTCAGGAGAAGTGTTCCTGCACTAGGTACTGCTAACCCTCTGAATGCTGACCTGGTCCAGAGTGACAATCCAAGCAGCCATCAAGGGACAAATTTTTAGCAGGTCACCAAGAAACACACCCACAAACCTTGCTAACAGTCACGTCTCACACACTCAGAGCACCCGCATGCACCCGTGTGACTTGGGTAACTGCAGGGGCAGTTCAGCATTTGCACATGCAATTACCCGAAATGTGAGTGCCCAGGACAGCCCGCACCTCCGCAGGTACCGGTTTGGACCCCTGCTGAAAATCCAGCCCTGTGTGCCCCGACAGTCTTGAGAGGGAACCCGCCGTTAGGGGTTTGTCCAACACCCTCACGATGCGATAATACTGCAGCATCCCCGTGAAACATCATCAAGGCACAAGGGCAGCAAGATCGGATCATTCACTGACATGCCTGAAGTCGATGCAAGCCAGGAATCTAGGGGTTCCCTAACCTAACACCAGCTCTCACTGCCCCAGAAAGGAGAGGAGCAAAGGGGGTGCTCTCCCTCTGCCCAGCACCATTCAAGAAGTTTAAAATTACACACTCTGGCCTGGCCTGTGCCCAGGGTCCAGGGAATCTAGGATATTCCCCACCACTAAGCCACCCCTCTCTGGCTTGAGCCCGACAGCCACCCTCATGAGCCTCTTTCAAACACCTAGCTGGCCCAGCTTGGAGCCAAGGGAAGGATTGCCCTGGCTAGGCAGGAGCTTGTGCAAACACTGGCTCAGATTCATTTTCCGCCCCTGCGACAGGGAAGAGGTGGGACCTGGGCGCTCCTTAACCATTTCTCGGGGTGGCTCCATTAATGTGCAGATCCCCGCCCCACTGGCATGGAGGAAGGCAGGTCAGACATCTGCCGCCCACCTCCCAGCAACTGGTGGGAGCCAGGCCACGGGGAGAGGTTCCTGGGACAGGGAGGAGAAAAGCAGCTGGCGAGGAGCAGAGATTTAATGGCCAGAGGCGCCAAAGAGCAGGATTACAGCTAAGCCGTCTGGCAAATGGTCATGCCAGCGAACGCCCCCACATGTACCTGCCCTCGCCTCAGCTAGCCGGGAACCAGGCCACGGGCGCAGGCTCTCGGTTTCAGGCTGTGGCCCACCACGCTGGTTTCGGGGTGGGGCTCCAGCATTTTCTACAGACTTGAAGGTTTCCTTTAAGCAAAGGCTGGCCTGTGGGAGGAGACAAGCTTCTGAGGGGACAGAGCTGCACCCGCCAGGGTGACGTGTGCTGGGGGGCATGGGGATGGCGAAAGGGTTCTGAGATGTGGGTTCAGCCAGGCCATTTGGGTGGGAAAGGCCGAGCACCTGCCTTACGAGGGACTGCACAGAAATGGGGAAGGGTGGAGGGCAGCAAAAGCAGAGATGAATGAGGCGGCCCCATAAATTAGAGACAAGCCCTTGGGCATTAGACGGGAGAGGGTTCAAGGCTGCAATGCCGTGGGCAGGTGTTCAGGTTACTGCAGGCCTGAGGCCCAGCAAGCTGGCAGGTGGACGCACACAGGGGGAACAGAAGAGCTTAGGACAGTGCAGGGGGAACACTAAAGTGCTGTGACCCAAAGGCATCTGAACCTTGCCCAGTCGTGCAGCAGACTGTGTTACCCGGCCTAGAGCATCCCTGGGCCTCCGGGACAGATCCCTACAGCATCCTGAGCTGGCTCAGCCTGTCTCCATCGTTCCATGCTTCAGCCAGGACGGACATCACGCACTAACCACCCTGCCCGCCCCCAGCTGTCCATCTCCTTTGCTCCGGGCTACGCCACCCCTTCCTCCGAACCACCTGCGGCCGGGCAGAGGGTAGTTGTGACTGGGCTCCTGTGTGATACCGAGAGAAGGAGTCGTAATTCCAGCACACAAAGCCCCACGGCCCCGGCGGCTCGGCTATTGCGATGCCACTCACCTGGGTTAAGCAGCCTCGCTTGCCCACATGCCGCCAGGTGTGACAATCTACACCTTCCAGATCTGCACATCCCCTGGCTTTGCAGACATGGCGCTTTGTCAGCCTCTCCTCCAGGGAACCTCACTCCACCGGACCCAGGGGAACCACGTTTGCTGCAAGGCGGTTGCCGGCTGCTGCCGCTGCCACCCGATGCATATTTGATGACAGCTATTATTCTCATCTCCACTCATGAACGGAGAGCGGGGAGCTAACCTTTCCTGCAGAGGAGCTGGGGAACGAATGAGAGGCAAGGGGCAGCAAGCACAGTTCCCCCGACTGTGCTGACGGATAGAACTGCAGCTACCTCCAAAGAGGGAGAAGATGGGTGGGACAGAACCTGTTAACGGGGACCTATGGGGAAAAAGGAGGGAACGGTGTAGCCAAAAGAGCAGCTACCTGCCAGGGGCACTAGAAGAGGAAGCCAAACAGACTAGCGTGTCCCACTGCACCTCCTACTGGATGATGCTTGAAACAGACACAGGTTTTCGAACTACAGCGCAGGGGGATACAGGTACGTGCAGACACTCAGTACCCATCAATACCTGTCACGATGAACTAGCTTCTGTATGTCTGAGGGCCAGAGGGGAATCATTTGGGAGAACTCAGACCAATACATAAGGGTGGCTATAAAGGCAGATGTTATATTTTGCCAACATAAAATTAATCCCTCCATATGAACCAGATGTGATCTTTAAACCACTCACCGAGGGCAGGTGTTGTCCAATGGGTTTAGCACAGACCTGGCAGGCAGAAGACCTGGGTTTTTAACCCCAACAATAGCACTGACTCATTATGTGAGCTCAGGCAATTCACTCCCCCTCTCTGAGCCTCTGTTCTCCCAGCTGTATAATGGGTATGTTACCTGCCTTTATAAATAAGGCTTTGGAAGTAGCACTGGCAGATGACAGCGCTACAGAGGCATTATTATTCACTCACTCCTAGCCCTGGAGTGGTGATTCATACCAAGGGCTGAGTGACCTGTTAGCCAGTTGTGAGAACTGTTTGCATTAACAGATTGTGGTTTTTAGGTTTACGGGCTTGGAGTGTGGTGCACTGTGGGGCACCGAAGGGCCTGAGTTCAAATCCCACAAAGGGCTAAGAACCTTTGCAGTTGGTTGCATTGAGACCACAAGCTCATAGACTTTCAGGACAGAAGGGACCATCATGATCACCTTGTCTGCCCTCCTGCAGGTTGCAGGCCACAGAACCTCACCCACCCACCCACTCCAGTAATAGACCCCTAACCTCTAGCTGACTTATCGAAGTCTTCAAACCTTGATTTAAAGACTCCAAGTTACAGAGAATCCACCATTTCCTCTAATTCAAAGCAGCAAGTGCTCATCCTAGATGGTCTTCTCTGCACCTGTTCCAGTTTGAATTCATCTTTTTTAACCCTGGGAGACCTGAACTGCACACAGTATTCCAGAAAAGATCTTACAAGGGCCTTGTATAACAGTACAACCACTGCCATCTTTGCTGAAAATACCTTGCCTGACGTAGCCTAGGATTGCATTAGCCTTTTTCACGGCCACATCACTTTGGCAGCTCATAGTAATCAACCAATACACTCAGGTCTTTCTCCTCCGCTGTCATTTCCAGTTGATATGTCCTCTGCTTATATCAAGAAGTCTTGCTGTTAGTCTTTAAGGGCAGGACCTTGCATTGTGCATTATTAAATTTCATCCCATTTCTATTACTCCAGTTTTCAAGGTTGTCCAAATCTTCTTGTGTGATATTCCAGTCTTCCTCCATATTGGCAATACCACCCAACTTTGTGCCCTCTGCCAATTTTATTAACACCCTCCCACTTTCTGTGCCATGGTCATTAATGAAAGTGTTAAATAAGGTTGGCCCCAGGACCAATCCTGAAGGAACTCCCTTGAGATGGGACAGTTCACCTTTCAGCATGATCCACTGAAGTCTCCGCTTTCACCAGTTCCTTACCCATCTTTCAAGACTCGTGTTAATCCCCAACATCTCCAATTTCACTAATAATTTAGTGAGGGGGGATTTGATAGCTGCTTTCAAATACTTGAGAGGGGGTTCCAAAGAGGATGGAGCTACACTGTTCTCAGTGTTACCAGATGACAGAACAAGAAGTAATAGTCTCAAGTTACAGGAAGGGAGGTTTAGGTTGGATATTAGGAAAAACTTTTTCACTAGGAGGGTGGTGAAGCACTGGAATGGGTTACCTAGGGAGGTGGTGGAATCTCCTTCCTTAGAGGTTTTTAAGGTCAGGCTTGACAAAGCCCTGGCTGGGATGATTTAGTTGAGGACTGGTCCTGCTTTGAGCAGGGGGTTGGACTAGATGACCTCCTGAAGTCCCTTCCAACCCTGATATTCTATGATTCTATGAATTTCCCAGGTGGAAGCTGTTACACCCACACTGTCACGTAAAGAACAACAGGGACAAGGTTAAACTGGCAGTTTTGTGCTCCTCTCTCGTTAGTGAGCCTGCACCAGCTTGCACCTGCTCCAGACTAATGGAATCTGCAGTCTTAGCTCTAATGCAGTGGGTATTTATTATGCCAAGTCTTCAGAAAGCAAGGGCTTAATTGCAAATTACAATCAATAACCCCCACAGGGTGACCTCTGCATTTAAAACATGTCACCAGAAGAATTCAAAAGTATGTGAAGGCAAGCAATCCTCATCTCAGCAGCCTCCTGAGCCACCTCTGCTACAAAGGAGGTTCACAGGCCTAGCTTGGTTGGGGTGACCCTTGTCACTGTTTGAAACAATTAAGTTGGCACGGCAAGACCGTGATTGTTCTATACTGCCCCATGCAGCACTTTCAATCTTGCCAGGATGGCAGGAGCGAAGATAGCAGAGGAGAGCCCATAGCTGTAACTGTCTCTCACTGAATTAAACAAATGTTGCTGGAGTCAAGTCCTGTTTTATTACCTTGCAAATGATTCCTGGCTAAATTAAATTATAAAAGGAGTGTTTGGCCAATCAAATGTGCTTGATTGCCTGGAACATGCACAGGCCTCTAGTTTTGAGCAGAACATGCTTCAAGCCGCAACCATTTCTAGGATGACAATCTCGAGGGAGTAACTGCTGGACTGTCTAAAACTGAAATCACACTCATCAAAATATAGGGTTAGAAGGGACGTCAAGCAGTCATCAAATCCATCCCTGGACAGCGTAAACCTAAAAAATGCTGGAGTTCGTTGACTTTGCAGGGTACATAGACCATCCATCCACTCGCGCTTTCGTCAGACGAGGTGGTTGGGAGCTGTGTTTAAAGGTATAGCTTAACTTTACGTTTGAGTTGTACTTAGTTTGACAGTGGGCAGTTGTATTTTGCAGATTACGTACATACACTGGGAGACAAATGGTGGGAGCATTCTATTACAATTAATCTGCTACTCCCCTCGACTTGCTGTATGGCCTTGGGAGTCATTTAACTCTCTGGCCCTCCGCGATCTCCTGTGGCAAGAGGGCTAACAATCTCTCCTTTTTGTGAAATGCCACACTTGGCCTTAGAGCAACATGCAGCAGCAACTTGTGAAGTTGTATTTTAAACACACAAACCTAATCTT